GGAGACCAGGATAAGTACCTGGCTCCTGCCAGCAGATCAGCGCGGTGCACCGGCCGCGGCAGCCAATGGAGGGTGAACCAACGGCAAAGGAAGACCTTTCTCTCTGTCTCTCTCACTGTCTACTCTGCCTGTCAAAAACAATTAATCTTACTGTACTTCTTTACTTGATTGGTGTCTATAGCCTGTACGTTCTCATGTAAACAGCAACTCAGGATAGGAACAAGCCAGATTATCTTCAGAGGACACAACCTCTAATGGTCAGCTCCTCATCTTCTTTGGTAGCTTAAAGAATATTTATGGAAGGCAAGTTGGAGGATATAGGTCTCTCTCCCTTTTCAGCTACTTTGAATTATTTTCTTCCATCAATTTGTTTGTCAAAAACCTGTAACATCTCAAACCATTACAGAATTGCCAACGAGTTGGCTTCTTAATATGCCTTTTGGTTAAAATTGCTAAAGGTTGAGCATCCCTAATCTGAAAATTCAAAATCTGAAATGATCTAAAACCTGAAACTTCTGACATGTAAGTTTCAGAAAACATTTCAGATTTTGGATTTTGGGGCTAGGAATGCTCAACTGATAAAGTCTATACAAATATTTCAAAATCTGAAATACTTTTGGTCTCAAGTATTTTGGATAGAGAATGCAATTTAAAGAAATATGTCTTGTTTGTGAAGTATCTTTGGGATACAATTCTAGGAATAGCTCTGCTTTATCATAGTGTTCTAGGTAAAGAGGAGCAGAGAAAAAGTCAGAATATGTTACCACACTGCCCCCTACCATAGTTGGCAACCTGAAAACTTATTGTAGCAGAGCTGCTGGCCAGAACCAGTATCTGCCAAAAATAGTCTGCTGACCATATTTCCATAGTTAATTATAATGAGATTACCATGGATGACATCCCCAATCCCATGATGCACCTGACACCATGACACTTCTAAGACTTCTTAAGAAGCTCAGAAATCAGGCAGTCACCAAATTCTGAGAAATTTCTCGCTTTCCTGGAAAACTTTCAAAGCACCACCCCTTTTACCTCCTGATCACATAAAGGTATGGCCCCAAACCTTATGGACTGTACCTCCCTCCAGAGCATACCTGTACTCTGTCTTAAATATGTACTTTTACTTTGCTAATAAATCTGATTCTTCTACTAAATTTAAATATACCCCCTTGGAATCCCAACACTGGGATCTAATGTGCTAGATGAAATAAAAATTATGTAATCTAATTATGTCTTATTCTTCCCATTGGCTACTAGGAAGCTCAAACTTATATATACACATCGGTGTGAACACATATGCATTTATATATTTTAATGTTCAGAAATTCCAGTTTTGTATTGAATTTGGTTTTGCCCTTTCTTGTTTATATAGATGACATATTGTGAACTTAAAAATAATTCCTGGGCTGATATCATGGCATAGTGAGTAAAGCTGCCACCAGTGACACCAGCATCTCTATATAGGCACTTGTTTATGTCCCAGCTGCTCCATTTCTAACCCAGTTTCCTGCCAATGGCCTGGGTTAAGCAGTGAAAGATGGCCCCAAGTGGGAGACCCAGATTAAGCTCCTGGCTCCTGGCTTTGGCCTGGCCCAGCCCTGGCCATTGCAGCCATCTGGGAAATGAACCAGTGGATGGAAGGTCTCTCTCAGTTTCTCCCTCTCTCCCTGTAATTCTGACTATCAGATAAATAAATCAGTCTTTAAAAAATAATAAAAAGTTCTAAGTTACTTCAAAAATAATTCCCTGCAGATGTTTCCTGTTCTTTTTTGGTGTTTCTAATTTGCCTACAACATTGGATTCTGTCTAGCAACCAAGGTCAAAGTGTAGTGAAGCTGACAAGAGTATTAATGGTTTTAATACTATATGTACAAGCAAAGAATTAGATCATTAGTGCTGAATGCAATTGGGGCAAAAATTCCTTCCCCCATAAATTCTCTGTGGCTTGAGAACACCCAGCCTTACCGGTTTGGGAAATAATGGGAATGCAACTGGAATCTTGTGCTGCAAATGGTTATGATTCAAGATGTAGGATTTGGAAACTGAAGCATAAAGAAACTGCTGAAGTATGAACAGGTACAGGACAGTGCTGATCTTCAGGCTGTATCCAGAGAAGAAAGATCCTATTCAGAAGAAGGCAGAGAGCTCATCTAAGGACTGTCAAGCTAAAGTTCAGAAGACTGAAGGACAATTATCAGTGATGGACAAAAGGACCAAATAGAAAAGCTCCCAGGTGGATCTCAAGGCTCCTCCACTCTTTTCCAGCCCCTATCCTTCCCTACCTTGTTTGGAAGACTCACATTCAAAGGCAAGAAATTCCATCCTTCCAAAGAAGGGTTTGCTTAAGCTTAAAGGCTGGAATTGAGCCCTGTTCCCCAAGAAGCAAACCTTTCAGAGAATTTGAAAAGTCAACACACAGGTATTTTGAAGATGAGGGTATTTCAAAAAGTTCATGAAAAAGTATAATTAAAAGATGTTTATTTTGGTAGAAGAAAGTTTTAAAATGGATGCATAGTTTATTCATAAAACATATCCTTCATTACTTTTTAAAGACGTTTTAACGACTGGCACCAAAATAAACTTTTCATTCCACTTTCAATGACTTTTCCTTCAAATTTCCTTGCTAGTGTTAGGTTTTAGGATTCCTTAGGACCAAAGGAGACAGAGACAATCAGCCAAAGAGGAAGAGGTTTTATTTAGGACAGACACACAACACAGTGGGGTCTGAAAGTGAATTTCAGCCTTCCTGGCAGTGGGCTGTGTCTCCTCTTAATCTTGTTGGGATAGGTCAGTGGCCATGCAGAGGGCACACTGACCCTGATAAGGTGGGTGGGGACAGGCAGAAAGGTCTGCTGGAGGAGTCATTTATTTATAATATATTGTCTTAGCAGTTTGAAATCTCCCAGGTTAGGGGCTTGTAGCCAAATGATGGGTGGGCAATAAAAATTCCACTGGTTTTTAGGTCAGTTTCATTGAGCTTGGATTAACTATTCATGTCTCAATGGCTTAACAGGTCCTAACAGCTAGCAAGCAGTACTAGAATGAAAAAGACCTTGGCTATCTCCAGCAACCCTGGCCTCTGCCTCCCTCTGTGGCACCCTCCTTCCCCTTCTAGGAACTTGACAGAAGGCAAGTGCCAGGCCCAAAAAGTCCGAGGTCAGTAGCCAGTGCCTGCTCAGCTACAGGCCATTCAAGCAAGGGTTTTGTTTGTTCTGAATTGAAGTTTGGGGCCAACTAATAAGCAAATATTTCTCTTTCAGTCATTGTCCTGCCATTTATTTCCTCCAGGAATCTGGAGGGAAAAGGAAGCTGTGGTCTGGTCCATGGTTAAAGTAAGCCAGGATCTACAACACTGCCAATTGTTCTGCCAGAGACCAAGGGAGTAAAGAGCTCACAATTCACAAGAATCCATGAATTAAATCTGATCTGATAACTGTTGGGTCTGTGCCCTCTCCACAGTGACAGAGACTTTGCAAGAAACTCTCTTTCTGAGGTCCTTGAGGGGAATTTAACCTCATTCCATACATGCTGATCTATTTTCTGAAAAGGAAGGAAGACTGCAAAGGTAGACAAAAGTCCTTATTTCTTTGAACGATATCTTGAATAAATAATGGGCATAATGGGGATTTCAAAAAGTTCATGGAAAAAAGAATTAAAATGTTTATTTTGGTGCAAAAAATTTGGAATTGCATGCTTATGAGAGATCTTCAAAAAGTTAATTGAAATTTTTCATTATGAATAAACTATGTATGAATTTCAAAGCTTTTTTGATCTTTTAATTCTGTTTCATGAACTTTTGGAAATAGCCTTGTCTAGTGCTTAGTCAATAATTGGCACTTGCTACATCGACCAATTTTACAATATACTATTAAATTATGACTACAATAATGCTTGGTCTCCAGGTTTAAAATGTGAAATTTGAATAATAGGCAGATTTATTCAAATATTTTAATTTATCCTTGGGTACTTAAGAATAGAAAAAATTTGAAGCTGGGATTCAAAAAATCTCTAAGCTCTTCAAAATGAAATACAAATGGTGCTGTCCTTCACTGTTTTCCTGGATCTCCACTTCCTACCTGTCTTTTTTTTAATTTATTTTACTTATTTGAAAGACAGAGTTACAGAGAGAGGTAGAGACAGAGAGAGAGAGGTCTTCCATCCACTGGTTCACTCCCCAGATGGCTGCAACAGCCAGAGCAAGCCAGGAGCTTCCTCCGGGGCTCCCACCTGGGTGCAGGGGCCCAAGGACTTGGGCCATCCTCTACTGTTATCCCAGGCCTTAGCAGGGGACTGGATAGGGAATGGAGCAGCAGGGACTAGAACTGGCACCTATATGAGATGCCGGTGCTTGAGGCCAGGGCTTTAACCCACTGCGCCACAGCGCCGGCCCCCCACATGTCTTTACAGAGGAAAACCCTCAGCTGAATCATCTGACTGCTACTTCTGCTTCTGACATTTGAGAAGCCACTTATGGCAGATGCCAAGGGGTGCCTATTCCAGAGCCATCCCCCGTCTTCCTTGCTTCCAGAATCTTGATTTTTGCCTAGGTAGAAGGAAACAGAAAGACTCCCCAGTGGATGAATAATAATTTGTCAAAATCAATCATATTAATCCATTTCTCTTTATCATAGGTTGGTTTGGAGGTGTGCATTTTACCAAGTTCTGGGCAACAGGATTTGAACAGATGTGTGTTAGCACTTCTGCACAATGGGAGAGAGATGCATGCAACATAAGCCTCTGAACTGCTTTCCTACGTTGGCTTTTCATGTGAAGATGACACTTGAAGCAGTGGCTACCACAGAAGCACCACGGGAAGATCAAGAAGCAAGTGGAGAAGCTGATCCCAAGTCATGACATTGTTGAGCCACAGAACTAACCCTTAATTATTTACCTGGACTTATTATTCTGTGCGAGGAAAAGAAATCCTATTATTTAAATCCTTTGTAGCCACATACTCTATAACTTGGAACCAAAATCATCCCTTTGTTTCATAAACTTACCCCAAAATGCCCTTGAAGTGATGGCAAGAAAACCCCATTGAAGGCACACTGAGAGTAAGGGCAGTTACTGGTATTGAAGAGCTCTTGGATACTTTCATGGCATCGTTGATAGTCTCCAACACCTTGAATTTGGAACTGATGGAATGGAAGTGTCTTCTCAAATCTCTTGGTGCAGGGGGTCTTGTAAAGGTCACTTATGTTCACTACCCTTTCATATCCAGGGTGGAAGCACGGGTCTTTAAGGATTCCATTACTTGTATCCTAAATGGAAAAATCAATTGAAGGCATCACGTGTGAATGTTTGGGGTACAAAAGGAACAGTCTGACTTTAACAATGCATATGTATTTTATAACATCCCAGCACTTAGCCCTGACATCAATATGTCCATGCCCTGTCCTTTTCATCCGTGGGAATAAGTAAAAAAAAAAAAAAGAAGAAGAAGAGGGAAGAGGGAAGAGGGAAGAGGAAGAGGAGGAGGAGGAGGAGGAGGAAGAAGAAGAAAGAGGGAAGAGGAAGAAGAGGAGGAGGAAGAGGAGGAGGAAGAGGAGGAGGAAGAAGAGGAGGAGGAGGAGGAAGAAGAGGAGGAGGAGGAGGAAGAAGAGGAAGAGGAGGAGGAGGAAGAGGAAGAGGAGGAGGAGGAGGAGGAGGAAGAGGAGGAGGAAGAGGAGGAGGAGGAAGAGGAAGAAGAGGAAGAGGAGGAGGAAGAGGAAGAAGAGGAAGAGGAGGAGGAAGAGAAAGAAGAAGAGGAAGAGGAGGAAGAGGAAGAGGAAGAAGAAGAAGAGGAGGAGGAAGAGGAAGAAGAGGAAGAGGAAGAGGAAGAGGAAGAAGAAGAAGAAGAGAAGAGGAAGAGGAAGAAGAAGAAGAAGGAGGTTTGTATAACAGGCACCAGAAGTAGTTTCAGATGTAAATGTATTTGTCTATTTATAGACTGTCCATGTAGTGAAAACAGGGCCCAGAAATGCCATTAGTCTGGAATGTCCCTTGTGCTTAGTCCCGACCACATAGATCAGAAGCAGATTCACAATGAAAACTTTTAAGACTCTCAAAATGTTGAGCCTGAGAGTAGTTTCCCAGTAGCCTTCATACAGTACCCTTCTCTACTCCTCAAGGAGAGAATCAGGAGCTCCAAGAGCTGGCAGGGCCCTTAGGTCGTTTACGCCAGCAGTATCAAAATGTTTTGGTAGGGTTTTCTCTGGTATTTTTTTTATTTCTAAACTTTGGATTAACATGTAATACTTGCACTTTTTTAAGGGATACATGAAACATTTCAGTAATTATTCATAGCTTAAACTGACCATACCAGGCAATCAGCCCTTCCATTTCCTTATCTTTTCTTTGTATAGAGATACCTGCACTCTATGTTCATTTTAGCACCATTTACAATAGCCAAGACATGGAATGAAGCTGGGTTTCCATCACTGGATGAATGCATAAAGAAAATGTGATATATATATATATATATATATACATATATATAAATATATATATATATAATGGAATATTTTTCTGCCTTAAAAAGGATAATATCTGGACATTTGCAGCAAAATGAATGGAACTGGAGATCATATGTTAAGTGAAATAAGTCAGACATAGCCAAATATCACATGGCCTCTTTTATATTTCTGTGTGAACGTGTGTGTATGTGTGTGTGTATACGGATAAATATTTGATCTAAATGTAAAAGATTACTAGAGGCCAGGCAGGGAGCAGGGGAGGGGATAAGAGAGATTGGATAATGGATGCCAAAACACAGTACGGTGGAAGTAACGGGTTCTGGTATTTTGCAGTACAGCAGGGTGACTATGGCTCATCGTGACATATTATATTCTGTGTCAAAGTGGTTTTTTATACAACTACAAGAGAAGAAAAGGGTTTGCTGTGGTAAGAAGCTTGGTGGAGCTTTGAGGTTCAGTGGGCATCTCTCTGTAGCCCCCACTCGTGGTTGTCAGAACCAGAGGGTGCCTTGGAAGAGCAAAGAATTGGTTGTCTTTTCAGTAGCGATGGATGTAACACCCTCACTCTGTTTGTCAGGGTGTGCCTAGTACTTGCATGACATTCAGAATGTTTAACTTTTCTTGCCTTCAAAAAATGCAGAAAGCATCTGGGGACAAGATTTCAAGTGTTGATAAATTCTGTTTACTTTCTGAAGTGCTTTTTTTGTCAATCCTATTCTCCAGGTCAAATCTAACAATCTGTTTCCTGTAATGTGTAGGAAAGAGAAATTAAAAAGTAGTCTAGACAGGTTTATAAATTGCGTGTTCTGCCTTCCTCCCTCTCCAATAGTACTCCAGCATGTAACTTCCATTATCAACTTCACAGGGGTGAGAAATTAATTCTTAAGAGAGGCTCTGAGTGGTGTCCTTGGAGATAGTACAGTAAACAAACAAAGGAGGGGAAGTGTTTGGATGGAATCATTGACAGGGGTCGACCAGATGTATGATAGTCTGCCTGAAAAGATTTGGAAAGTACAATAACCAACTTCAGACCAATTACTGAATTATAAAGAGAAAACAACAGGATGTGGGGGCTGGAAGCCCAGATGTGGGAAGGGCAGGGCTGGATTCAGTTATACTTGCCTCAATGTCCTTGGCCAGTTTCTGCAAGAGTGCTTGATCCTTCCCATAGCACAAGAAGCTGTGTGTGTATACGTTGTAGTCCCTGCCATAGAGGCGAAATTGCAAAGAGTTGTCTGGGGACTCGATAGTTTCATTACTTGGGGGCACAAAAGTGATTTGTGTAGAGGCTCCCCCAAGGTCCAGAGCTCCATAGGTTTGTTTCTCTTCTTCATGTGAGACCAGACCGTACCAACTTGATTTCTGAAAGAGAGGACAGTCACCAGCACAAGAAGCCTCTTGGCATCCTGCTTTCAACACTATTTCTTGGACTCAGGAACTTCCTAAGGCAAAGAAGCAGGGGCAGAAAGGTGAGACAAAGCTCACTGGAGGTTTCTGAGTCTGCATCAAATTAACAGGAAGAAAAGAGAGGCTTCAAAGAGAGCTCAGATGGCAGCAGCACAGTAGAACAGCAGATATGTCCAGTAGTATCACAGGGCATCTCAATTCAACTCTCCACTCACCTGCTCACTAACTGTGAGACCCTGGATAGAATAAGTGCCCTCTTTCAATATCATTTGGGACTCTAATCTAGAGATAATAAGAAAGCTTCATACTATTGTTCTGAGGATGAAGTCAAACAGCACAGGAAAAGTGCTTAGCACAGCACAAGACATACAGAACTAGGCAAATATTAGCAACTCTGAATAACAGAATTTTACTTTCCTCTATATCCCCTTAAAGTACAAATACGGCTTCTTATCCGCCAATAGTAGATGTTCTCATAAGAGAATTATGCCTCTAGAGAATCTTACAAAAGTGGGAGTACATTCTTTCACTCATTCATTCTAGCTAGTGGCACAAGCACTGCCTGTGGTAAGCAATGGCCATGTTCTACAAAAAGCCACTTCCAAGGGTGCTGTGAGTTATTCACCTGAGGGAAATTTCCCATAAGATAGTTGATGGTAATCCAGCCATAGGCACCTTCCTCTTGGCCAGTGATGATCCGGGCACCCTGGAAGTCAAAGGGGTACTCGTCGAGGGTCTTCGACACCATATCCAGGATCTTGTCTGCCACTGTTTCACTTTCATCCCTACACAAAGGAAGAGCTGAAGCTATCATTTTTGTTTCAGTAATTCTACCTTCCCACTTCAGCTAGGACTTCCGCTCAGTGTTCCTAGGAAGTAAACACTGGAATAAGCAGAGAGATAGGGCTCCCTAAATATGACTGTCAGAGGAACCCTCCTTTGGGATGAGACAAGACCAATCTTTTAACTCACTCCTCTCTCTCTCAGAAACCAAATCTTTCTGATCCTTGTATAGGTTGGTCTTATTAAAATGCCATTTTCATTCTACTGTTTTCTGGCTCAAAAAGTTGATAACAGTTCATAAAATTACTATGGTGGTGGTGGTAGCCAGCATTGTTTTATCACAACACCTAGTGCTGATGTGTGCTATATTAGTCATTACTGGTGGCTCCCACATGACTATACAGTTCTGCTGAGGTTTCAACTAGGGCTCTGGTAGAAATAAGGTAGAAAATGACCTCAGGCAAGTACCCAACTTCCTCTTCTGCCAGATTCAGGAAATCCTTATATTTTTCCCTGGTTCTTGGGTCAGCTTGAGGCCTTGAGGTCTAAAGAAAGAGTCTTTCCGGGTTGTCATAATAAAGATGGAATGAATTGCCTCCAAGATCTAGGCTCTGCAACACTGAGGGCTTCGGAGTGACAGGATGCTACTTCCAACTTGGATTAGAGCCCTGTAATCTCTTGTCCTAATGGCTTCCTACTGTATGCCTAGCTGTTATCCCTAGCCTTCCTCACTTTGATTCATCTTCTCTACCAGTGTCACCTGTTGTGTAACAAACTTTGATGGCTTCCCCACTATCTCCAAAATTGCCCCCAAAATTCCTAGCATGGGCCATTGTGATCTGGACCCAGCCTTCTCAGAATCCCACATAGAACTCCAGCTCTACCACTTACTAGGAATGTGACTTCAGGTGAGTTAACAACATTTGTAAGCCACAGCCTTTTTCTCTGGTTAATGACAGTTAATAATTCTTATTTCATAGAGTTGTTGTGATGGTTAAACAACTGCCTAGCACAGTGCTAAGTTCACAGCAAGGGCTCAATAACTATGAGCTGCTATGATTGTTACAACTTTTTTAAGAAAGATTTATTTATTTGAGCCGGCGCCATGGCTCAATAGGCTAATCCTCCACCTTGCGGCGCCGGCACACCGGGTTCTAGTCCCGGTCGGGGCCCCGGATTCTGTCCCGGTTGCCCCTCTTCCAGGCCAGCTCTCTGCTATGGCCAGGGAGTGCAGTGGAGGATGGCCCAGGTGCTTGGGCCCTGCACCCCATGGGAGACCAGGAAAAGCACCTGGATCCTGGCTCCTGCCATCGGATCAGCGCAGTGCGCCGGCTGCAGCGGCGGCCATTGGAGGGTGAACCAACGGCAAAGGAAGACCTTTCTCTCTCTGTCTCTCTCTCTCACTGTCCACTCTGCCTATCAAAAAACAATAAAAAAAAAAAGAAAGATTTATTTATTTGAAAGACAGAGTTACAGAGAGAGGTAGAGACAGAGAGAGAGGTCTTCCATCCGCTGGTTCACTCCCCAGTTGGCTGCAATGGCTGCAGCTGTGCCGATCTGAAGCCAGGAGCCAGGAGCCTCCTCCGGGTCTCCCACGTGGGTGCACGGGCCCAAAGACTTGGGTCATCATTTACTGCTTTCCCAGGCCATAGCAGAGAGCTGGATCAGAAGTGGAACAGCTGGGACTAGAACCAGCGCCCATATGGGATGCCGGCACTTCAGGCCAGTGCCTTAACCCTCTGCACCACAGCGCCCACCCCTATTGTTAGGATTTTATAACACACAGAACTGTGCAGAACTATTTACTTTCCTTTGAATACACCCTGATCTCTCATGTTTCCCCACCTTTGAACATTCATTAGAAATCAGGCTCCATGTAGCCAGGGACATCGTCTTGTTCAAAGCTGTCTCCCCAGCACTTAAAAGAGTCCCTGACACATAACAGGTGCTGAAAGAAGAGCTGGTTGCTGAACACATGCTGTCTTCTCTGCCTGTAGTGCCTTCCCCCAGCCTCCAACTTGTCCTCTGTGATTAAGCGCATGTATATTCCTCTCTGGTAAGTCTTCTAGGTCTGCTTTCATCTTACAAAGGGCCCAATGTGCTCCCATGGCAAGTCTGAACACTCCTCTATTAAAGAATTAATCTGAGGGCCTGGTTCAAGTTCTGGCTCCTCTGCTTCCAAGCTAGCTTTCTGCTAATGTGCACACTGAGAGGCAGTAGGTGATGGTTCAAGTGCTTGTGTTCTGGATATCCACAAGGGAGACCCAGCCTGATTTTTAGACTTCTGGCTTCAGACTGGCCCAGCCCTAGATGTTGTAGGCATTTGGGGAATGAATCAGCGGATAGAAGATCACATTCTCTCTCTCTTAATCTTCCTGCCTTTCAAATAAAATAAAAATAAATAAATAACAACTTAAAAAAAAAACTCATCACCTTGTATAGAAATTCTGATTTCCTTGAGGGCCAAGTCACCTAATTTTATATTCAAAGACAGAGTAAGCAGAACCAACCCTTAGGGCATTCTGGTCTGGCTGAAAAGTCCATGAGAGCATTTCAGGCATGGGAAGCCAAGACACTGTGGGTAAAAATGTCCTACATGAAGGACATCAGTGGTGAGACTCCAGTGGAAAGAAGGGGTCATCAAAGAAGGAAGTACTTTTCTCTGAAAGGAGGAGACAATTCCCACTCTGCTTATGACCTTGTCTAAATACTGACAGAGTTCGTGGATTCAAAAGGCTTCCATAGCCTAGGCAGCTCATATCAAGAGCCTCGGGTGATCACTGACATCATACATAACAGTATTGTTAAATTAACAACAGGAGTCACTGTGCACTAACTTTCCATGTAGGACCTCTGTCCTCAAAGAGTTGTATTATAATTATGTCTAAGTGCTCACAAAAGATGTATCACTCTTGGGTGCTTCTTTAAATTTAATTAAGTTTATTTAGAAAAAAAAGAAGTGAAATTAACTTCAAGATGCAAAGACTTTGAACAACCCCTGTCTCCACTGCTGAAGAACAGTTTTTTTGTGTGCAAATTATTGAACACTTTACTTAGTATAGAGTTGGTCTTCTGTGTATAAAGTTAATCAAAAATGTATCTTAGTGGAGAATGGGACTGGGAATGGGAAAGTGAGGAGGAGGTGTAGGAGTTGGGGTGGGAGGGCAGGTATGGTGGGAAGAATCGCTATATTCCTAAAATTGTACTTATGAAATGCATGAAGTTCATATTCCTTAAATAAAAGGTTTCTTTGGGGGAAAAAAAAAAACAAAGACAGAGTAAGGTACTCAACACACTGAATAAATGCAAGAGGAACAAAAGGACAAACGATGCACACAGGTGCCCATGAACATGTGCTAGTGGTGATTATTCGTCTTGAGATAACTCTTGAGTGACTTCTGGTGCTCCTCCTCTCAGAGGTTGATTGGCTAAATCTCTTGCCCCAAATTCCAGTGTACATAGTTTAGTCTTCTTCTGAGGCTCCCTCCCCATTGAATTCCTCATGGGATGATAGGCAAAAGGTCTTTTATTTTTACATTCTTAAAATCACCCCATTATACATACTAAAAGTTGGGGAATTTTACTTGCCTATTGAAATTTTCTTTCTTAGGTATGGACTTTGGGATTTTTAGAATTCGGTGTGTTACATAAATGAGACCAAGAGTCTGCTAATAATAATAGATAGAATTAAAAAGGAGAGAACGATCCAACATGGGAATCAGGCCTCACAGCAGACTCATACAATGACAAACACCCTAAACAGCACGCTGGCCTCAAAATCAGCCCTTAAGACATTTGTATCTGGCTAAAAAGCCCATGAGAGCATTTCAGACATGGAAAACTGAGACATTGTGGCAAAAAATGACCTACATGAAGGATCTCTGTGAGTGAGATCCTGTTGTAAAGAATGGGCCATCAAAGAAGGAAGTACATTTCTCTGAAGGGAGGAGAGAAATTCCACTTTGCTTACAGCCTTGTCTTAATAAAGTCAGAGTTTGTGGACTCAAGAGGTTTCCAGCAAGACCCTTACCTTACACCTTCCACAAAAATCCACTCAATATGGATTAAAGATCTAAATCTACGACCCGACACCATCAAATTATTAGAGAACATTGGAGAAACCCTGCAAGATATAGGCACAGGCAAAGACTTCTTGGAAAATACCCCAGTGGCACAGGCAGTCAAAGCCAAAATTAACAATTGGGATTGCGTCAAATTCAGAAGTTTCTGTACTGCAAAAGAAACAGTCAGGAAAGTGAAGAGGTAATCGACAGAATGGGGAAAATATTTGCAAACTATGCAACTGATAACAGATTAACAACCAGAATCTACGAAGAGATCAAGAAACTCCACATCAACAAAACAAACAACCCACTTAAGAGATGGGCCAAGAACCTCAATAGACATTTTTCAAAACAGGAAATCCAAATGGCCAACAGGCACATGAAAAAATGTTCAAGATCACTAGCAATAAGGGAAATGCAAATCAAAACCACAATGAGGTTTCACCACACCCCGGTTAGAATGGCTCACATACAGAAATCTACCAACAACAGATGCTGGTGAGGATGTGGGGAAAAAGGGACAATAACCCACTGTTGGTGGGAATGCAAACTGGTCAAGCCACTATGCAAGTCAGTCTGGAGATTCCTCAGAAACCTGAATATAACCCTACCATACAACCCAGCCATCCCACTCCTTGGAATTTATCCAAAGGAAATTAAATTGGCAAACAAAAAAGCTGTCTGCACCTTAATGTTTATTGCAGCCCAATTCACAATAGCTAAGACCTGGAATCAACCCAAATGCCCAACAACAGTAGACTGGATAAAGAAATTATGGCACATGTACTCTACAGAATACTATACAGCAGTAAAAAAAAAAAAAAAAAAAAAAAAAAAAAAAAAAAAAAACAATGACATCCGGTCATTTGCAACAAAATGGAGGAATCTGGAAAACATCATGCTGAGTGAAATAAGCCAGTCCCAAAGGGACAAATATCATATGTTCTCCCTGATCGGTGACAACTAACTGAGCACCAAAAAGGAAACCTGGTGAAGTTAAATGGACACTATGAGAAACAGTGACTTGATCAGCCCTTGTCCTGACTGTCGATGAACAACTTAATACTTTAGCACTTTTAGTATTTTTTGTTGTTCTAATTAATACTAATTTTTAACTCTTTAATTAACATACAATTATTCTTAGGTGTTTAAACTTAACTGAAAAGTGATCTCTGTTAAATATAAGAGTGGGAATAAGAGAGGGAGGAGATGTACAATTTGGGACATGCTCAATCGGACTTGCCCCAAATGGCAGAGTTAGAAACGTGCCAGGGGATTCCAATTCAATCCCATCAAGGTGGCATGTACCAATGCCATCTCACTAGTCCAAGTGATCAGTTTCAGTTCACAATTGATCATAATGATAAGATTAAGAGTCAAAGGGATCACATAAACAAGACAAGTGTCTGCAAATACTAACTGATAGACTTAAAAAGGAGAGAACGATCCAACATGGGAAGCAGGATACACAGCAGACTCATAGAATGGCAGATGTCCTAAACAGCACTCTGGCCTCAGAATCAACCCTTAAGGCATTCAGATATGGCTGAAGAGCCCATGAGAATATTTTAGGCATGGCAAGCCAAGATACTCTGAAAAAAAAAAAAAAAAAAACTAAATGAAAGATCTCTGCGAGTGAGATCCCAGTGGAAAGAATGGGCCATCAAAGATGGAGGTACCTTTCTCTGAAGGGAGGAGAGAACTTCCACTTTGACTATGGTCTTGTCAAAATATGATCAGAGTTTGCAAACTCAAGGCTTCCATAGCCTTAGCAACTCATGACAAGAGCCTAGGGTGATTACTGATGCCATAAACAAGAGTGTCAATTGTTAAGTTAACAACAGGAGTCACTGTGCACTTATTCCCCATGTAGGATCTCTGTCCTTAATGTGTTATACAATGTGAATTAATGCTATAACTTGTGCTCAAACATTATTTTATACTTTGTGTTTCTGTGTGGATCCAAACTGTTGAAATCTTTACTTAATATATACTAAACTGATCTTCTGTATATAAAGATAATTGAAAATGAATCTTGATGTGAATGGAATGGGAGGGAGAGCGGGAGATGGAGGGTTGCAAGTGGGAGGGAAGTTATGAGGGGGAGGGTGATCACTATAATCCAAAAGCTGTACTTTGGAAATTATATTCATTAAATAAAAGTTTAAAAAAAGAGGCTTCCATAGCTTTGGCAGGTCATGACAAGAGCTTCGGGTGATCACTGACGTCATAAATATGAGTGTCAACTGTTAAATCAACAACAGGCATCACTGTGCACTTGCTCCTCATGTAGGATCTCTGTCCTCAATGTGCTGTACTAGGAGAACTAATGGTAAAACTAGTCTTCAAGCAGTACTAATACTTTGTGTGTCTGTGTGGGTGCAAACTGTGGAAATCTCTACTTAGTACAGAGCTGATCTTCTGTATATAAAGAGAATTACAAAGGAAAGTTAATGAAGAATGGGATGGGAGAGGGAGTAGGAGGTGCGATGATTTGGGGGTGGGAAGGTGGACATGGGGGGAAGAACCTCTATAATCCAGAAGTTGTACTTATGAAATTTATATTTATTAAATAAAAGCTTTCTATAAAAAAAGAATTTGGTGTGTTAGGGAAGAATGGTCCTTGTGTATCGTTTCAGAGGCCCTAGCACTGCCAGGCCTCCTTGTGCCTACATGCTGCTGACCTGAGCAACCGCATGCCTGCTGTAGCTCCCAGGTAAACAGGTGTCTCTTGGTGCTGGGAGATTGGAACCACTTCCCTGGATCTTTCCATGCATGCAGCCAGGTAAGTTTTTATTTCATCTACTTTCTGGGCATATTTTGAGATTCCAAGACCTAGAGAAAGAGGTAGAAGATGGTGACAATCTTTAAAAAAAAAAGAAAGTACCTTGACAATATTGAAACAAAATACGTTTTCTGAGATAACACAAGAAAACAATTTCTTGATGTGATGTATATTAGGCTTGTTGGACTTAGAGGGTAACTCATCGGACCTGGCCTTGGTAAAACTTGATTTCCTAACATCAGGCTGGTCAGGATTACATAGCTATTTAGTGGCAGGTGTTCTATCTTTTCAGTCTGTTTGATGTTCAATAACTTTGCCACTGGATGGCGCAATTTCATATTCAATTGCATAATTTCACAGGCAGCATCTTCAGAAAGTTTATGGAAAATGTGTATTACGAAAAAACTCATAGAAAGCTACTATACTACTATGGAAGCATTAGCTGCTTGTGAAGTTTCTTAACAAAGTTCTAATTAAGAACAAAAGTTCCTAGATGACCTAAAATGACATTTAGAACAAAAAAATAAGCACCAGACACATTAACTTACTGAAAAGACAGAACACCTACCACTAAACAGCTATGTAATCCCGACCAGTACCCTAAAACTTCTGAGGTGTAGTTTCTTTGTTAAAAAGAAAGCAAAATCCATGTTCCCCCAGTGAATGTTCCACTCCAACATTGTTCTTCCTAGTAAAACTGTTTTTCCAGTTTTAGAGCAAAACTAACTGTTGCTATGGAGAGGATTGGAGCCAAGATTCCTTAAGTTTTTTGAGTTCAACACTCAACAGTTTCATTTCACATTTAAATAAATATCACACCATCAGTGTTTCATAGCAAGTATTTCCTTAAAGAAAATTATTCAAGTAAGTTATCCAGATACTTCACAGGTTTTCAGACAGCCTGTTTCCTGAACCAAAATTAGAAAATGAACTCCTAAGTAATCAACTCACTGTTTCAATTCAGAAAATCTGCCTTTAAGTATTTGATTAACTAGAGACTTCTCCCTTTTGAAAGGAGAATATAGTGCATTTGTTAAGCCAAACACTCATGGGATGAGTCTCAGAAGAAAGCCATCTGTAGGATTAAAAAAATTTTTTTAAACAGAAGGCAGTGAATTAAATTTGAGGGGTATGATGGAATTCCAAAAAGTTCATGGAAAAATGAAATTAACAATGATGTGAATTTTCCATGAGTATTTTTAAGCCCCCTTGCAAAATCAGTAAAATGAGGGATTCAGACTTTAAGAAATATTAGAGGGTAGGTGTTTGGCATAGTGGTTAGATCAGTACTTCATATCTGAATGCCTGAGTTCTAAACCTGGCTCCAATCTTAATTCCAGCTTCCTGCAAATGCACACCCTGGGAGACAGCAGGTGATGACTCAAGTAGTTGGATCTCTGCCACCCACATGGGAAGCCCAGATTGAGGTCCTGACTCCTGGATTTAGCCTGGCCCACTCCTGGCAATTCTGGGCACTTGGGGAGTGAACCAGTGGATGGGAGATCCGTCTCTGTCTCTCTGCCTTTCATTTAAATCAAATAAATAAATAAATGTTAGAATATTGTCTCAGTATTAATGGGGTCAAAGTCTCAAGATATTAGGCTACTGGGTAGAATGCCTTGCTCTCTTTAAAACATTTACTCTCTACTATTTTATCAACAAACTACAAAAATCAGCGGACTCAACAGGCCCTTGAATTGGAAGTCAATTATCTTCTGGGACCTTGGTTGCCTTTTTGAATAAAAATAAAAAGTGGGTTCCTAGATTAAAAAGGCCAAAAGAGGAGCAGCATTTAGTCTAGAGTTTAGATACCTGTGTTAGGACCACCTCTCTGGTGCAGCAGGTTAAACCACTGACTGCAGTGCCAGCATCCCATCTGGGTGCTGCTTCGAATCCTGGATGCTTCACTCTCAGTCCCAGCTCCCTGCTAATGTGCCTGAGAAAACAGTGGAAAATGGCACAAATCCCTGGGCCCCTGCCACCCACGGGAGACCCTGGCTTTGGCATGGTCTAGCCCGGCTGTTTGGCTATTTGGGAAGTAAACCAGTGGATAGAAGATCGCTCTTTGTGTGTTTCTCCTTCTCTCTCTCTAACTCTGACTTTCAAATAAATAAATCTTTAACTGTGTCCTAAGCCTGAGCACCTAAGTTTGATTCCTAGTGCTGACTTCTGACTCTAGCTTCTCACCAATACACATCTTTGAAAGAAGAGTGATGGCTAAATAATTTGGTTTCTGCCACCCAAATGAGGGACTTGGATTGCATTCCCAGCTTCTGGCTCTAGCCCTGGCCTAGCCCCCAGCATTTAAAGAGTAAATCAACAGATAGGAGCTCTATCTGCCTGTTTGTCTCTCTCTCTCTCTCTCTCTCTCAGCCTCTCAGATATAAAAAAAAAAGGACCATGAGAGATAAAGGTCAAAGAGATTATGGTACAACGTGGTGACGTCTGGAGGGACAACGGTCAACAATTCTAAGTTGCACTGTGACCTTGAAAGAAAACTAATGAGAAAAGAAATGTGTAATATAGTGCTTCAGGGTAGCAAAAGGCCGGAGTGCAGTCAGGAGATCTAGACTGTTGTCTGGGTTCTTTGCTACTTGAAGAGCACTAATTCTCCAGGTTTTTGTTTCCTTCTTGGCAAAACAAGAATTAAATGGTCCACAGGGTTTTTTTACCTGTCCCCAATAGTCTACAATTTGTTCTTTCCTGCCTATACAGAGGTTAAAGACCTTCAAAAGGTTCTTTCATGTTGCAGATCAGAGTGGAAAGATTAAGAGCGAAGAGATACCCTGGACCAACCAAGGTAACATCACTTGAGCACCTGTTAGAAATGCATTCTCAAGCCTCACCTCAGATATGCAGGCTCAGAAATCCTGGGGGGGTTAGGCACAGCATATGTGCATTAACCCCCTCCAAGTAGTTCTGACAGTGTCACATTGGAGAACTACTGGCTGGTACATGAGTTTGCAGTCAGGTATACTTTGCTTGGAATCCCAGTCCCATAATTTACTAGCTCAAGTTATCCAAATAAGTGCTACAATCTCTATCAATCTTGGTGTCCTCATTGTTTAAAAACTAGGAATGATATGGGTGGCATTGTGGTGCAGCAGGTTAAGCTGCCATTTGCAACATCAGCATCCCATACTGGAGTTCCAGTTTGAGTCCTGGCTGTTCTGCAGCCAATGCAGACCCCTGCTAATATGCCTGGGAAAGCAGCAGAAGATGGCCCAAGTAATGGGGCCCCTGCCACCCACATGCGGGACCTGGTTGGATCTCAGCATCTTCAGGGCTCTTGGCTTCAGTCCCAGCCCTTGCAGCCATTTGCAAAATGAACCTGTAGGCAGAGATGTCTTTCTCTCTCTACTACTCTCACTCTATCTTTCAAATAAATAAAAATAAATTTTTTAAAAAAGAACAATAATGCACATATCAAAAGGAGATGTGAGAATTAAATAAAATTACAAAGTTCAGTTCATAGTTCATGATATACAGAAGTGTCCTGGTAATGGAAGCTACTATGACTAAGTTATTTTAAATTTGCTTATTCTTCAAGGGATTACTCATTCAGGATTGATTTCAACATCATTTTCTGTAATATTAACAAAACAACAACAGCTCCACCATTCTTCACTTGGCTTCTTACACTTGAGCCTCTTTTTCCTCTTGTGTTCTGCTTGCCACAAACCTCTCATGTTCTTGTGCCCCAAATGCCTCCCCTTCTCTTTTTCTCCATCTTACCTTTCACCTTGCATTCTTCTAGCTGATGCACCACTCCTGTGTCATTCTCCTTTTCGGCTGGCCACTTATATATGTACAGACTTGTGTGGGAAGAGCCTGCGTCCAGCACGATTCCATACTGAGAGCAAAACAAGTAAAAAATGTATCAGTGCAGCATCGTTCTCCCTTACATTCAGCTTCCGACAGGAAGGAGACAGGGACAGTTCTCAGAAACGAGAGCGGAAAGTATTTTAATTTGGGGGGAACCTGGGCAGAGATGAGTAGAGTTACCCTAGTCACAAGAGCTACCAGGAGGTCAATTTCTGTAAACCACTCTCTTAATATTTACTTAGAAATACTCAGGCCTCACCCAGGGTGGGGTCTAAGCAGCAGTATTATTTGGAAGCTTGCTGGATGATTCTAATATACAGCCAGGATCCAGAGTCACATGCTCAAGTAGGTAAGACAACATGGAAGGAATAGAAAGCCATTAATCCAGTAGATCCTAAACTTGTCTACACACTGGAATCATGCGGGAGCTCCAATGGCCATGATTCCTGTGTCCAACCCCTAGATATTGTAATTTAACTGGTCTGGTATGTAGCCTGGGCTTTGGAATTTTTATAAGATCCCATGTGATTCTGATGCACAAATTTGGGAACCACCGGGTTAACTCACTGAGGGTCACACAGACATAATAAATATCTTCTTCTAATTTTAGCTCAGTAAATGTGGAGCTTATTTTAAAGAGACACAGAAAATACTAAGCCCACTTGGTTTTAAGTTATGAATAGAACTATAAAATTGTAATAAATGCACTAAAAATGTACCCAAACTTCATGTTTTAGCTCTGCAAAGGAGGAACAAAGAAAGAGAAAAATAGAAGAGAGAGAGAGAGAGAGAGAGAGAGAGAAAGAAAGATAGACACAAGATGCATGCAAGGAGAAGGGAAAAAAAACGCATGAGAAAGTGGTGATCAGAGGAGAAAGAGAGGCTAGAGCAGCTTGTCCTACTCCCGAGCACATGACACGTCCCAGGCAGAGGCTGAAGGAAGCATTTTATGTGACTTACCTGACTTACCTCTCAGAACAGTTCTGTAAATTAGCTCTTATTTTAATCCATTAAATATAGTACAAAGTACAAAGAGGTTAAGTAATTTATTGAAGATACACGGTGAATGAGTAACAGAGCCTAGATCTGAATCAGTCAAATGGGTCTTTTTAAGAACATTAAATAAGGGATAACTACAGAGCAGCAGGAAAATCTTTGTATATATTAATGAATTTTTGCATCTGTGCCAATCCGTATAATCAGTGCCAAGAACAAGACACATGGCGCCCTCTAGCACCCAGAAGGCTTTCTAGTATCCCCCTGGGGCAGTTTCCCCCAAGGGTGACAACTCTCTTGACCTCTATCACCACAGGTCAGTTTTTCCTGGTTTTGAACCCCAGTAACTGGACACACAGTGGCTCTGCTTTACATCCAGTGTCCTTCACATCTATCAGATGCACTCAAACTGTGTTAACAGTTCACTTTTGCCCACTGCTGGAAGTATCTCATTATTTGCATATACTGTATTTTCATCTTCTGGTGGACATTTGGGTTGTTTCCAGGTGAGGGCTATTGGGAATATAGCTGCCATGAACACTCTTGTACATTTCATTTGGGGAATATAAGCTCTCATTTGTTTTAGACATTTACACAGGAGGAGAATGCCAAATGCCCACTTAAATTGATAAACATCTTTGGTTACCTTCCTAGGCTCAATAAGTATGTGTGTAGGGGGAAGGGTATGATTGATGATATCTGCCATGGATTTGGAAACAGAGTATGATGGCATGTGTACTTTTTTTTTTTTCTTAAGCATTCCTATCTTAGAGAGAAACATGGAGGAAAGTAAATGAGGAGGCAAAAGGAAGAGAAACACAAAGGAGGCACTTCCGGAAATGTAAGCCAACTACTTTGTGCCACTTTGTTGCACAATGGAGCTCTGGACCTCAAAGTATGCCCTGCCACTTGAAAAATATTTACCTATTTGTATGTTTCTTTAAAAGGCAGAGTGACAAAGAGAGAGGGAGAGACAATCTCCTATCCACTGGTTCACTCCCCAAATGACCACAACAGACCACAACAGGGTGGGACCAAGCTGAATCTAAGAGCCAGGAACTCCATCCAGGTCCCCCATGTTGGGGGCAGTGTCTCAAATACTTGGCCATCTGCTGCTGCTTTCCCAGGCGCATTAGCAAGGGAGCTGGACTGGAAACAGAGCAGATGGGACTTGAACTGGCACTCAGATATGGGATGCCAGCAGTAAGCAGTGACTTAACTCTCTACCTCATAATGCTGGCCACACTTGAAAACACACACACACACACACACACACACACACACACACACATACAGTCTTTAAAAAGTTGGTGGAAAATACATATTATGGGGAAAAAACTATGCATGGATTTTAAAATCCTTTTACACCGAAAGCAACTTATTTCAGTTATATCCATTTTCCAGTAACTTTTTGAAGTGTGTATGTGTGTTTGTGCACCCTCATAATCTTATCACAGAGAAAAGAGGACCAGAATGAGGATTTAAGAAATCTACAGGACCATTAGGAGCAGCTGAAAGTAGGGCCTACTGAGTTTCCAACTTGATTCCACTTCAGTACAGAGCAGGGAGTATCACTGTGCAGACCTCGTGAGGCGCCTTGACCCTAGGTAACCTCCGCGGTGCTCCCTGTCTTGTTTGGCACGGTGGGGATTCCCCCTAGTAACTAGTGCAGTGCTCTTAGAAAGAAAAGGCCCTGTATGCTTGCTTTGGACGCAGCAAGGAAGCAAGCTGCAGATTCCTCTGCAGCTAGGCTTGTAGTAAAAGGAATCCACGAAATCAACGGCTTAGGTGCTGCCCACTGTGGACACGGGGGACACTGACTGAAGTCTGCGGCCTTTGAACTCGTGGGAAACCTCGCAGGATAGAGAAAGCAGCTCAGGGATTATGCAGTAGAAAATTCTGTTGTTCCCTAGCAGGGCCCTAAGTTATTCGTGCCAGAGAAATGTTCCAACCACAACGGCATATGATGAAAGCTAGCAAGGCGGCGGCAGCAAGCGGCCTCTATCTGGAATCAGGACATTCTATTCTGTCTAACTTTGTTGACATGAAAGTCACTTTTCCAGGAGCGCCAAGGAACCTGCCTTGTTTCTATCAGCCTAGTTCTCTAAGGGCTTACATAGTGGGGTGGTTGATAAATCAAAGCTTTCACTACATTTTGTTTGGCAAGTGTTTGAGAAGGGGTAGAGCATACTGTAACGCTGGAGTTGAGGACATTTCCCCTTGTGTATACAGCACACTAGAACACTAACATGTCAAACGGCGCCAAACATTTGTCTTCTAAAATAGTTTGCAGAATAAAAAATTGGCATCGCTTACTGCTTGAGAGACAGATAAAGCTTGATTATCTGAAAGTTCTCAGATGGAACATTTGGGGAGTTTGCCTTTCATTGCTACAAGGTTTACCAGTGTCTGAGTGGCCAACATCTTTTATTTTCTTTCTACCACCGCAGCATTTTCCAATGCATATTTCAGAGATCGTGAGGCTGCAAGGATCTCAGCAAACATAGCTTTGCAGAAGCTTGAGGATGCTTGTACTCTTACCCCTTCCTGGGCCCATAAGCCCATTAAACAGTGAAGGCCTCAGCCAAGGCTGGCAATGGAAAAACATGATATTTTTCTTAGCTTGCATTTAAAACTTTCTAAAACCCTTGAAAGTATATCCTTTCTTTTAAAGAAAAAATCAAAGCTTTGTGTTGCAAGGAAGAGATCTGATATTCCCTTATGATTATTTCACTATTTTCCATATTAAGAGTACTAAAAGTTCCTAAAATATGAATTAGAAAATAAGAGACATTTAAGATTCCACATAGATATCACTGTTATTTTTTTTTTATTTCCTTCCAATCTTTTCAAAAAACTATTTATTTACCCCACCACCACACACACACACAATTACAGAGTTAGTTTCCATCTTCTGGTTCACTCCCCAAATGCCCCCAACAGCTGGGACTAGTCTGGGGCCAAAGTGAGGAGCTGGGATTCAACCCAGGTCTCCCACATGAACAGCAAGGACTTCATTACTTGTTTCATCACTGCTGCCTCCCAGGGATTGTATTAACAGGAAGCTGGGGTCAGGTGCCAGAGTCAGAACAGGCCAGGCAGCCAGACATGGGGCACAGACATTTCAATTGCTCAGGTAAATACTCACCCCCGCCCCAGTGTCTTTTAATGCTTCCTTATAATATCATTTATATAGTTGTCATCTTAATGTATACACATGTTTGTCCTCAGCTAGTTTTTTATTAATATTTTAATTGTTCATATTGTTGGGGCACGTACAGTGGGATAAATTGATACAATAGATGTATATAACATGTAACAACCAAGTAAAATCACAGTAGTTATTATTTCCATCTCCTTAAACATTTTTTAGGGAGGGTGGGCATTTGGCACACAGCTGAGACACCCCTCGGGACACGAGCATCACAAGCTGGAGTGCCTGGGTTCAATTTCCAGTTTTGCTTCTAATTCCTGCTTCCTGCTAACGTGCACTGTGGGAAGCAGCAAATGATGGCTCAGGTTGTTTCCTGCCATCCATGCCATATCCCACAGGTTTTCAGATGTTTTGTTCACATATTCATATGGTTGTTTTGTTTTGTTTTGTTTTTTTGACAGGCAGAGTTAGACAGTGAGAGAGAGAGAGAGAGAAAGGTCTTCCTTTTCCGTTGGTTCACCCCTCAATGGCCGCTGTGGCTGGCGCGCTGCGCACCGCGCTGATCCGAAACAAGGAGCCAGGTGCTTCTCTAGGTCTCTCTCCCATGTGGGTGCAGGGCCCAAGCACTTGGGCCATCCTCCACTTCGCATTCCCTGGCCATAGCAGAGAGCTGGACCGGAAGAGGAGCAACCGGGACAGAATCCAGCGCCCCAACTGGGACTAGAACCCGGGGTGCTGGCGCCACAGGCGGAGGATTAGCCTAGTGAGCCATGGCACCGGTCCACATGTTCATATGTTTTAAGAAAATTTTTTTATCTTCCTTTTGATTTCTTCAATGACCCATTGTTCATTCAACAGCATGTTGTGGTCCATTCTCC